ATCTGTTTTCCTTGCTTTTGTGTCATGCCTCTGTTTAGCTTTATTGACAAAACAATCTGTGTCTAATGTTTAAACAACATCTGTAAAATGTATTATTAAATTATGTTGGAAGAAAAAGCAGAGCAATTCTATGAAACCCTGTGACCCCCTATTGATTTTTAGATCACAGAAGTTGAAAGGATAATTTGTGAATGTTTTAACATTTACATCGACACAGGTACCTATATTTATAGAATCTTTGATTACTTATAAAAGTATTTGCTACATTATTACCATAACTCAGAAAGAAACCTGACCTTTAACAGTTGAATCTGTTTATTATAAGGGAGATCCTATTTTTTAAAAATAAGTTTACATTTTTACCTGCCAGTGGCATAAATCTCTAAGGATAACATACTTCGCCCCCCCCACCTCCACCGGTCATAAATGGGAAGTGATGCCTGAATGCTTCGCAGTTTTGAAGGCAGTAAATGAAGTAACTAGGAAAATCTGGTATATGTACTAAATCTGAGAATGGTAGAGCTGTGATAGTTCTGTAAAAAGTGTCACCTCAGATGTTAAGATGCTCCCTGGAATTTTATGCACCCAACTGATGGAGAGTGATTTTTCTTTCTGCATACAGACTGCATTTCACATACACTATATATTTTGCACCTAAGATCCATATTGCTTTCTCAGAGCATAAAGAAATAATCATTTAACATTAGGCCTTAATGGGAAAGTGTTTGGATGAGCAGTAGTAAACAAAGAAACTGTAAAATTTATTCAATACACCCTAGGCTAGAACTCCGCTGAGGCAGAATGTTGTCTGAGGCATCCAGCAAGGAAGATAAAACCACAGGCCCAAGTCTGCATCGTATGGAAGTCCCAGCTCTGCAACACTGCCGCGAAAACAGAGAAGGAAGGCCATTCTACACTCACATTTCCAAATAAAAAAATAAAGTTGGTGTATTCAGGAGAAAAAAAAAGAACCAAAGATTGACTTTGTGTGTGTGTGTATGTGTGTGTGTGTTTTCTTTAAAGTTCGACCTAAATAATTAAAGATCTAAAGAACCATCTCAAAATGTAGGAAGTTTCTGCTTAAATGACTAAAACATTCAACATTGTAGTAATATGCTTTCACGGCTGATATAACAGAAGTAATTTTCATAGCCACAACAACAATGGAAAAACAAAAAGGCAAAAGTCCCAAGTGCTATTAATTGCTCATTTTGGGATCAAATCATAATTGGGAGGGAGAAAGCAAAGAAAGAAGAACACATGAATGTATAGCACATATTATATTTCAAAGATTACCGTGCTTTTAAGTCTAGGTCTACCACAGCATGCTAGAGTGAGATGTTCATGCAATGAGTTAGGGAAGTTGATTTTTTAAAAACATGCAGTTGCCTCAGATACTTCTACAATTAAGGTAAAAATATTTTCACCCAAATTATTTGCATCATTGCCTCAATTCTCAAAAAATTTGTTGGCGTAGACTTGTCCTACGATGTCTCATCTAATAAATTTCACATTCCATCCCCAGGCCCAGTTCCTATAACCACTAATAGCAACCATTTTAAGATTCCTCCTCTCTGTTTTCATTCTGACACATAGATCAAACATAAGAGTTACAAGAGTTATTTCTTTTAATCCAAATTTTCTTTGAATTAATCAAATCTGTCTTGTTGTTTTCCATTTAAATTCTCCCTATTGTCTCCTCACACACACACACACACACACCCCCGCCGCCCCCCAGATCCCATCTGCTTTGGCCTGGGCTAGCCAAGGCGGGTAGTTTGTATCACTCATGGCAATTAGAGAGATGGGAGATCAGTTCAGCGATGGGATGAAAGAGCCATTACAACACACCAAACTTTGCTCATCTTTGTTTCAGTCAAAACCTAACTTAAAACTGCATCGGCCAGTGTTTCTAAGACAAGCTCACCACTAGACATGAGTTTATATTTTTCACTTTCATATTGTGTACTTTGATACACGATGTTGCTGCCAATAATTATGACTGATCTACACCCAACCTGCCCTTCAGCATTTTACTAAACCTCTTCAACAGTGACTCATAGTTCATACAAAATGTACATGTGTGTTAACAAGTTTTAAGAAATCCAAGAGGGAAGACACACATTTTTTAATGTTGTGGCTAAATGAAGTGAATGGGGAAATGTTAAAATACTAATGAGGATTTTCTTTTAATTATGATTTCCAGAAGGAAGGAACTTGGGCTTGATGCTCAATATAGGAAAAAATGTTTACAAGCTCTCAAGAAAGCTTTGTGTAATGTTTTATTATGGTAAAGTAAAATGAAAAGCCTTTAGTGGTTCTGCTGCTTTTAGTCTTCAAGGATGCCACAATTTAAGATGCTCTGACATCTTCGGTTTTCATACAATACCATCTGGGTTTCCCCATTTTTGCAACCTATTTCCTACTCAAAGCCAAAAAAAATCGATTATCAGCTCCTTAAAAGTTGAAGGTTTGGATGAAAGTTAAGAAACCATTAGAATCTCAAATCGAACACGGCAATGTCATTATTCACCAAACTTAGGAGAAACACTCTCTCTTACAACTTTGATTTACTTGAGGGAAATTCTCTACCACAAAGTTGTTAGAGCTGAAAGAGTTGCCAAGTACAAAACAATGAAGTGCAAGCCAAAGTCACTTCTCACTCCAGAGAGAAGTAGGGAGAAACAGGCGCAGCACACAGGGCCCATGGAGAACACAACTGGGCTCACAGCCCGCAGAACTGAAAGTGATGTGTGTTTATGTACCTGTGGAGAACTGAATATCCGTGTGAAGTGGATAGTAAGTCTGCATATAACTCTGAAAAGTATTATGACTTTTTTTTTTTTTTAAAGATTTTATTTATTTCTTTGACAGAGAGAGACACAGCGAGAGAGGAAACACAAGCAGGGGGGGTGGGAGAGGGAGAAGCAGGCCTCCTGCGGAGCAGGGAGCCCGATGTGGGGCTCGATCTCAGGACCCTGGGATCACGACCTGAGCCGAAGGCAGACGCTTAACGTCTGAGCCACCCAGGCGCCCCAGTATTATGACTTTTTTAAGGTCCCTTTTTCCTCCTCTGCCTGCAAAACTGAGGAAGTTGCTTTATGGTCGCCCAGTAGAATCTGGGTAAGTGACAGTTGCATACTGTTTGGTGTCCCAGGAATGCCTGCCTGCCCATGCAGCCACAGGAAATAGCCCTGAAGTTCATCCACCTGTGGAAAGAACGTTGTCTTGGGATCTATTCTCTGGTAACAATGTCTATAGAGGGGGGTTTGCTAGGGACACGGCAGAGGAAGAGAGATGGCACGTGTGACAGACCACCTGAGGGGCAGCGCTTTTGCCTTCCTTAATTTGAGTTCGCCCTGCCACTCCTTGGCCCTCAAATGGGAACGTTTCCCAGGGAAATAACATTAGTACAGCCTCTGTTGTGTTCAAATTGCATCATCGGTTTAACCTTGAAAATACATTTGAATTCAGACATGCATGCAAAATTGTTGGTCTACCCTATAAACATTGTCCAGGAGGACCTGAAGCCTAAGTTCAAATATATAGTATCAACAGTCTTGGAAATTAAGATACAGTAGAGGGCACAAATAGGCAAACAAAAATTCGCAGCAGGGACACACTCCTAGCAACACATGTAGGTACAGTATGGCTTCCGTTGGCTCCCTATCCACTTGACTAAAGGCTGCAAAAATTGATCTCCCAAGGCTGCGGTAAGGTCATAGAAACTGATAACCCTTACAAGCAATGCTTATGTGAGTCTGTCTGTGTCTTGCAGATAGTGCACTTTGTAAATTAATCCTCCAAAGGCAAATATATTGTAAGTAGCTTGTTATCTCTAAAACACTAAATTGAAGAATACATGGGATTATATTGACAGAAATTACATTTTCTGTAATGGGGTTTAATATATCTGGAATCTCTCCCAAAGGCTCCCAGGCTCTCTAACAGAGAAGGGTCTGTTAATGTAGGTGCAATGGACATCAAGAACAAATTTATTCACCAAAATGGATTAGGCCATGTAATCAGAGATTCTATAATATTAATCTTTGACACTTATTGAACAGAAAGAAATACTTCTGTCTGCAAACTGGCATTCCCAGTTCTCCCCTTTCCCCAACCAGGCTGTGAGCCTTTTCTGGATTTTACTTCAAAGAGGATAAGGTTTCCCCATCATAAACACTAATCTAAAAATATTAGGACAATTAATTAGATACACTTAGTTTGAGAGGATATTGGATTTCGATACCCTTCAAATATGACACAAGCTCTGGGTGATTATATGAACCTGGCTTTCAGCACACTCACAAAGGGTAATAAATCATACTTTCCCAAAGCCTCATTGCCATACCACCGTACATTGTCAGAATATCGTTGGCTGGTACTTGGTACGGAATCTCAGCTTCCCCCAAATCAGGAATTCACACACTTATTTAGAAACAGTATTGCACAGCCCGGAGATACAGCAGGTTTTGAACAGCTTCAAAGTGGAAACATAAATAATTTCTCTTTTTCCATGGACGGAAGATGGGAGGAAACGGGAGACTATCCTCGAATGCTCAGGCCTAACAAAATAACTGCAGTTAGTAATAACTTTCACTGAATGTAAAACCTGACTGATAAGTGATGGTGGATTTTCTTGTTCCATAGAAAACAGGATGATACCACTCTTTCTATCGATTATCCTAAAGCGGGGGGAAAAGCCATTTATAGAGCCACAGTGAATGTGAATTAAACACTTATTTATACTATGCCTAAAATTTGTCAATTTTAAAGGCAATGGAAAACAATGCAATGTTGGGGTGTGTGTGTGTGTGTGTGTGTTTTCCATGCTAGCAAGTGCTCTCACCCATCAGTCAACCATTTACTTTCACCTTTGGATCCACAAGCCACCAGGGAAAACAGCAACAACTGGGTGTGTCTTCTTAATGCAAAACATTAGCTGCAGGTTGCCAGAGGGGGAAACAGATTGTGTGTAAACACAAAGCCAAATTACTTACCAATTGTTCACTTGTAGGATGGTGAGTCCCGTGTCTTGTGCCAACTGCTTTTTCTGTTCTTCAGAAGGGTAAGGGTGCTGAAAAAGAACAAAAAAGATAGATGTGTGCACATATACTTTGGGCATATAATGCATATATCACATGTCAGGTGCAATGCTAGGGGCTAGGGATTCAATAATAAACACATATGCTCTGTAAAAAAAAAATATGTGTATACCAGGCAATATTTAGGCTATTTTGTCAATAGCCTAAGTGTCCAGCGAAGTCTATAATTAAAGGTAAAAATGCTGAGGTGTGTCACTCTTATTAATGGAATACTACATCATCTAATTAATGGCAGTAAAAGGCAAGCCAATTACAAAGATTAGTGAAGTGTATAAATAGCTACTTAGAATACTTGCAGAACCTTGATACTGAGTTTATCCTTTAAAGGCTTATTTGTTGCAAACACAGAAAGTTTAGTATGATCTTCACTGTATTTTATAGGATTAAAGTAAGGACAAGCCCTTTTGATATGAAAGCGTATCACCTTGACATAATATTTTCATAATTCAGAACCACGGGCTTCTAAAGCTGAACCATTTGGACCAACCACCTTAGCTGAGGTCCCCAGTAGTTAAGCACTTTGCTAGCATGACATTTTTCCCTCCAAAACACCATATTGCCAGATGCAAATATCAAAATTAAAGTGGGTGTATTTTTTTTAGCCACTAATCATTGTAGCTCTTCTAAACACAAACAAATGACATTCAACCAAAGTTGGTTTCCATATCTGAATGTCAACACATGCTGGGATTCTGAACACAGGCCAATACAAGGTCAAAGACCAGCATATTTTGCATGCTAAGAACAAGCCCGGCCATGTTCCTCATGAGTTAGAGCGGATAAAAAAGTATTACAGGATTAGATAATAAAATGATAATAAAATGAAATTCATACCCTCTTGAAAGAATGTTTGGAATTCTACTGAAATTAGTTTTGGCACAAATACTTTTTGTTCAGTAATGAACTATATCTAAATCTGAAATACATGTTTCTGAAGCGGGACATGGTATCCATCTATGGACACATTGACCAGCTTGAAACGCTGCATCCCAAGAAATTCTCCCAAGATAAAAATTGTTCTGCTAGTCAACGCTCTATTCCCTTATGAATAAGAAAGGGCACCCTCAACTCTCAATTTAACTATCTGTGCCATTGGAAACTATATTCTGGTCTATTGAATGTTAATTAACATAGCTTTTAATCTCATTAATAATGTCTGATTAGATGCTAAGAAGGCTCGTTAATGACCACTTTAATGCTCTTATATGTAAGTTTAAATATGTTCTATATCTGTACACGTGGGATTCATTTGTGGAGAGCAGAGATGTTAGCAATTTTTCCCATAAGCATTGTCTTTGATTGTCACTTAATCAATAAATACACAATTAGAATAAGGCTTTGCTTTCATGGAATATAGTGCCTTTCTCTAAAGAGCTCCAAGTATATTACAGACAGGATGGTGATTAATCCCCATTATATCCCTTGGAGGGACATAAATGGAATCTATTGTCCCTCCTGTCTTCCAGGTGAGGAAACTGGCCAGGGAAAGGCACGGTCAGCAGCCACACAACTCAGCGATATTTCCTGCTTCCCTTCCAGTGTCTAAGTCTCACCATGACTGAGGGATGTGGCAAATGCCTCTCAGAATCTTCATTCTTTTTTTTTTTTTTTAAGATTTTATTTATTTATTTGAGAGAAAGAGAGAGTGAGAGAGAGCATGAGAGGGGAGAGGGTCAAAGGGAGAAGCAGACTCCCTACCGAGCAGGGAGCCCGATGTGGGACTCGATCCCAGGACTCTGGGATCATGCCCTGAGCCGAAGTCAGTCGCTTAACCACTGAGCCACCCAGGCGCCCAGAATCTTCATTCTTATGCCTGCTCCAAAACCTCCAGACTGCTTACTATGGCCTGCAAGGCACGCCACCATCCAGCTCTGCCCACCTCTCAGACTGGGTGGCCTTTTCTTCACACCCTCCCCCGCTCCACCCCTCTGTCCAGCCACACAGTCCTCCTTTCTGTTCTTCCAACACACCAACCTTATCCCTACCACTCAGGCTCCTGCTCCGGGGTCACTTTCTCGTCTCAGCCCAAAGGCCAAACCTCATCCACCCAGTGTCCACCAGCCTACCTTACTGTTCTCACGTCAGGCTTTTCCTTCTTCCCTAATGGCAAAGCATCGCTCTCTGAAACACCTGCTCTGATGATTTGGGTCCTGTGGGTGTGCCTCCTCTCACTCACCTAGCAACTCCAAAGTAGTGACTTTCGCATTCACCATTCTCAAAGCCCAGCGTGGCACATAATGGGAGGTCAGTAAATATCTGTGAAACAAGAAGGAGGCTACGTCCTGCCATGATACACAGATACTCTCCACTCAGATGCAACATCAAAATGTATAATAAAAATGTTTTCAACAGCCCACAGGAGGGATAAGCAATCCAATTTGAGATCCACAATGCTACTTTCCTGACTTCATTCCTAACAGTGATGTCAACCCACTCTTCTCAAGTAACAGTATATAAACTTCATAATAGGTTAAGATCATAGGTGACAGTCCCCCTACTCAACATAATGCCAGTCATCCTAGGAAAATCTCATGCCTGGATACTGAGCTAAAAGCAATTCTCTACCCTAAGGTTTAAAACATAGCTCCAGCCGCACAATACAAACCATATGAACCTCTTATCCTATGAACAGATACTGAATTAGGGTTTGATATACAGAAGTTCTCTGTCTACACTAGTTGAAGAATTGTATATAAGGTATACACGGCCCCATTAGATTGTGTAAATTATGCTGCCACTCGCTAATTACGAGCTTTCGGACAAGGGACAACTTTTCTAATCCTCAATTTTGTCATCTGGAGTTGAAGATCCATCAAAGTTAGAGGTTACCCGGGCTTGCAATTCTTCCACATTATAAGCCTGATTTTGAAAAACACAAATTTTAGCATCTAAGCTGTTGGCACTCCTTGCCATATAAAGTTGTAGACCCATGTACACAAGTCGTTTCCAATCTGTAACATCTTCTGTAATTTGCTTATGATTTTTCAGGTCCTGTGGAAAGCTCAGTGGTTTTCAATAGAATTAATAAATATGTCAACAGTCTCACTTCACTATAGCTGGACAGCAATACCTTTTGCCCTGTCTTGTTGGTTGTGTCTTAATATAATGACCAGAACTGGATAAAAATTAATATTTACGCCATTTACCTTTAGTTACTTCAAAAATTGAGGATGGTCACAGTCATTTATTTGTGCTGTGTTTTCAAGAGTATTTTTGCATGCCTGTTTGTGAGTAAGTTTTACAACCATTCTTACAAAGCAAATGGAACTCACATTTTATTTATGCAGGTGGTGTCAGGAAAATTCTCTCTGGATCATTAAAATTACCTGAATCATTACAGCTTCAAAGAGCAATCAATGGCCCTCAAAATTTCAGCGCAGATTTAGGTTGCTTCTTCACATCATGCAGTTTCTGATTTCATAATTTAAATATCATAAAATGAGAAAGTTCTAGCCTTTTTTTCCTGTCACTTTTCATGTGATCTGATTTTAAGTAATTGGAACAAACTGTGTCTAATTTCATGCAGCATAATTGCTAGGCAGCCTCAAGCTATGGAGACCCAGCACTCTGTCTCCATTAAACAATTTTCAGTCATCAGGATATATATATATTTTTTAATAGAAATGAATGAGCCTGGATGAAATTAAATGTCACAATAATCTGGTCATTGTTAAGGGGGTGGGGGGAAAGGTGTCAACAAAATTCCCTAAACCCTTGTCTATGGCAGGGAGATGGATTTTTTTCTTTTTCTCATAGTTCTTGGCCTGCGTGTCCCACAAACTTTTAATTCCCTGAAAAAAAACAAAACAAAACAAAACAGAAAAACACAAACCCATAATTGCTAGAATCACATGAAAGCTGTGACTTCAGGTAGCTAATCCACAGTCAGCCAAAAATTCACAAAGAAGCAAGCTTTTAACTGAAATCCAGTATCTTTAAATATCTTAAATCCTTTGCATCTTTCCTAAATAAGCTTTTTGTGGGCAGTATGAGTTATTCCTTTGTAGACTTAAAAAAAACCGGCTTGACAAAAACCCAACATGCCACGAGCAAGGCTGCTGTAAAAACATTCAAAATCCTGTTGTGTTATGCCCACAGGGCTGGTGAGGCCGTTAGAGGGAAAAGGTAGACATCATTTTACAAAAGAGATAAAGAGATGTGCCATTTTAGGAAGAGAATGGGAAATTCCTTCCAAACCACTGCAACCAAGAGCCTAGGTCACCCCTTGCCGGTCTCCTGAACACCTTTGCTATTAATGGCAAGGACACCCCTTTAAGGAAGATCAGGAGGTTCTTATGAAGGGAAGAGGGGTTGCACTTGCCAGCTACACCAATCAACCTAATCACTTTGGGATATCAAAGCAAATTTGACCACAGTCCAATAGGTAGTGACAGGAGACCTCGCCTTTGTTGTGTACATTAGCGTCATGCCATTATCTCTTAAAAGCTTAATTATTTGCAAACAATTGATCAAGATGGGAATTTGAGAAAGGATATGCAGGGGCCACTGGGAGAACTGAACGCATTAAGAGAGCAAACAAAATTACCTTTAGATCTTACAATCAGAATTAACGATTGAGACGGGACAGCTAGGCTGGGCAGTAGCTGCAAGCGCTCTTTCCCGAGTGTTTCCCATTTGATCTGCATTAACACCTCAGGAATGAGTGAAAGCCATAAAAGAGTGATTATGTCAGGGTAAAGCTGACCCTCCCTTCCAGCACCAGCCCGGCACACGTGTATTAGGCTGGCTTCGCTGGGGAGAGAAGAGATGATGGACTCCATGGGAAAAGCAGCAGCTTGGGGGGGTGGGGGGTGGGGAATGGGACCCCAAGCACAGGGAATAGCTCACAATCTGATCATCCTGATTTCAATAATCAACACCCTGACTTCTCCTTTCCGGGATAAGTCTCCTGCTGAAAGAGAAACAGTTTGTCCCTCTTTGTGTTTCTGGCTCTGAAGTGCGACTTCTAATA